GAAGATTCTACTGCTTCCTCAGGGGATGGGTTAACCTGACCCAAACATGTTTCTTTAAAATGAGAGCATGGGTTTATATCTCGGCAAAGGGGACAGATACAGCTCCATTTCATGGTACTTGTGAAGGGTGCTCATTGAGCCTTGTTCAGTGTTGATGCTTACCCAGCAGGGCTGCCTGGCAGACAGAACCTTGTTCCAGGCGGCAAAACAGGCCTGTCTGCATACCAGGCCAAAGGATGATTGGGGGCACTTTGTTTGCTTCATGGCCCAACTCACAAGATGAGCAGTAACAAGCTATTGAATGACTTTACATTGCCTCATAAAGCTCCTTAGTGAGGGTGAACTATGTTTTTAAAGTTACAGATAGGTAGCCGTGTTGGTCTGCCATAGTCAAAACAAAAAAAAATTCCTTCCAGTAGCACCTTAAAGACCAACTAAGTTAGTTCTTGGTATGAGCTTTCGTGTGCATGCAGGTATCTGAAGAAGTGTGCATGCACACGAAAGCTCATACCAAGAACTAACTTAGTTGGTCTTTAAGGTGCTACTGGAAGGAATTTTGTTTTGTTTTGACTATGTTTTTAAACCTAATTGAGAGAATACATACAGCAGTGGTTGCTTAAAGGTGGCATTTGAGCTCACCCCAAGCATCTACAGTTGGTGTGTGTATTGGGGAAAGAGCGTAACAATTTTCCTAATCTGTCCTCGTTGTTTTGCTCCATCCCCTGCTGCGCATAGAGAAGCAGAGGGAAGCCAAGTGGAATTGGAGTGGGGAAGGTAAAGGAAATGGTTACTTACTTCAACACACACACACACACATCAGAGAGAGAAGGCAATTAATAACTCCGCCTCCCAACTCAGTTGGCAACGGCATAGCAAAGGGCATGATTACCTGTCCTCTACTGGAACGACCACCTGGAATTTCCAGCTGCTCCCTAACACAAAGGGTCAGGGTACAAGCCAGACTGCATCACCAAGAAGAGACTCGCAACTGACTTTGGGTCCCAACTGGCCACTCAGCACCAGTTCAGTGAGTTTCAGTGGGATCCTTCTATTTACCCAGCTAAGGCTGCTTCAGGAGCAGAATGTGTGCCGCCCACTGTTCCTTCCTCCCTTTCCCCATCCTCTTGGGATCACGAGGCAAGGCTTTGCCAGTTCTCTGGAAGCTGTGGAAATAAGTTCCTGTTCAGTCTCTCTGCCATCTGCCTATGAATATATGGCATTGGCAACAGTTAGTTAAAGAAAGAGAGGAAAAAGAAGAAGCTAAGGCAGACCAGGGTTGCCCAATCCCGTCACGGACAGAATTGATTTCCATTTCTGTTGCCCTTCTTCCCAAGGATCAGGGCCAAAGTTATTCTGAGATAGCAAAGATGACTAATGTCATGATGTATATGTATACTGCAGTGTGGCTCACTCCCAGGTAAGTGGGTACAGAATTGCAGCTTTACTTATCCTGTAAATAAACCAAGTCCCTATACAAGAAGGGCGAGTCTTCAGTTGTGTTAGGTCAGTCAGTCAGTCAATCAATCAATCAATCAATCAATCAATCAATTGCAGCACACCTTTGAGTTATTCTCTGTCTTCCTTTTTGTACTCATGAACTCCTTTCTTTCATTCACCAGTTACAGCTTTAACTGAACAGTCACTATACAGAGTTCTTCTTTTTAGAAACACGGCTTAGGAAAGCTCTCTGATACATATTACCCCCATTGATTATTGTTTTGTTGTCCCCATGCAAACTAATGGGGCCAAGCAGTCCCATTAGCCTGCATTGGGACAGGAGGCAAGGAAACAAGGTAGCGCCCCCCCTCCCGCAAGCATTTGGATTTGGGGCACTTGGGAAAGAAAACTCAGGGGTTTGATAACCTGAGTCTGGTTTTAACTAAGGTCTTTCAAACCCCTGGATTAAAATGCGAGGCAGGCTGAAATGAGCTCTCATGCCACCCCTACAACAGATTGAAGAAAACAATACCCATCACAACAGTTTCAGATAAGAGTCTCCAGAATATGGAGATTACTTAGACCAGAGCTGCTGAGAGAGGGGGGGCTAAAAAGAAAGAAAAACGTAAAACAAAAATACAGCTGAAGAGATATTCAAGAATAAGGAGCTGGAAAAGAACAAGGGTTATCAATCTGAAATTAATTCAGCCAGTAATGACAGTGCAGACATTACTTCTCATGTGATGGATCCTCCCAGCTACTTGGGCTGTAGCAACTGGCCGTAACAGAAGTGACAGATGGTGGAGACAATTTCCTTGCCTAGCAAGGGGAACAGTATCCGTTACATTTAACATGCTCTTTATTTTTAACAGAACTATTGCTAAAGCGGTTCTATGACTTTGGGGTGGGGAGACAAATGGGAATCTTGTGGTACCACAGGAATGAGAAGATGAGACTGTACCATATAACAAACTAAGTTATAACCATTTTCTTTTCTACTAAAGCAGACTGGCTTGGTGATAATTTAAGGCAGTGATTCTGGACAGCTTGGAGATGTGTGTGTTTTTTTCATTGGAATACTGCGAATAAGCTATGCATTATACACAGTCCTGATTCTGATATTGTTTTCCCCATTTGCTTCAACACAATGGCTTCAGGTTGGAGCAGAGAACCAGCAAGGGAGAAAGGAGCGGCTTAACCATTCATTTTGCTAGCTATCTGCTCAAAATTCTTCCAAAGCAGCACGGGGGATGAAAATCAGCAAAAATAATAGCAGTAGTTTGGCCCTTAAATATGGATGCAGAACCTGGATTCATATCCTAGCACAGCCATACATCCACTTACACACTCACTACATTTGTTACGAAGTCTCTTTCGCCGTCCCTCCCCTCTCTCAAAATGGGAACAATTGTGGTCTGCCTTGCAGCAGTCTTGTTGTGAGGACAAACAAGACAATGGCTGTAAAAAGGCACAGCATGTGGGTTAAAATAACCAAGAGTCTTGTGGCATCTTAAAAACTTAATAAATGTATTATGGCATAATCTTTTGTGGGCTAGAGTCCGCTTCATCAAATGAATTAAGTGTTTCCTTATGTTGGCAGGTATATAGACCCATGATTGTTGGAGGTGGGTGGGGGACCATGGTAATGCCTGCCTGCTGGGTAGGGCAAAGCCTGGAAATGCTTTTATGAGCTTTTAAAACCATCAGTGTCTGAAAGGAAATGAGACATGGCATTTGGAATAAAATGCTATGTGCAAAGAGCAAAAGCAGTAGCAGGGCAGGATTTTGAAAATCAGCCTGTCTCACCTATGTGGAAGGTAGTTGAGTAGCGGGGGATAAAGATGAAGCTAAGGAGCTCACAGTTAAGAAAACAGACTGAATACTTGGTGAGATTTTAGTCTGGGAGGTGTTGCAGGGGGAAGAGGCTCAGAGCCACTGAGGTACATTGCAAAGTAGAGCTCTGTCCATGGTGCTCAACTGTTTAGGACTGGAGAAACCACTGGAGAAACCAGGCAGCTAATTCTGAACATGGTTGGTACTGAATGTTGCAGGGCTAAGACCAAGAAGTTCGTCTCCACAAAATAACAGACACTGAGAGATCTCCAAGCTAAAATTGTAAATTTCTTCTGTTTCATGAATTTACACTGCAAAAGTCATGTGGATATTCCTTTTTCTTTGTGATGTTATTTTCCTGCATCTATTCCTTAACATGCACTCCCCTGAGGATTAAAAAACGTTATGTTGAAATTGGTGTGCGACAGCTAGAGGGCCAACAGTTTTATTCTTGTCCGTAGTGCACCCAATATGATGAAGTTGTATTGCAATGAATATCCCAATTGATTAGACTGCTAATTTACCCATATTTAATACACACATACAACTACTAATCTACAAAGCATTCAGAAGCACCATTTATGGAAGAGGAAGGGTTCTCCTCATATCTGGTGCTTTGGAGTATACACGATTACAAGAGCATCCATATTAAAAAGCATATTAAATATTCAATAAACAGGACTGGGTTTCAGTTTGTGGAGGCCCTAGTCACTTCATAAATTGAGGCCCTCGTTTTAAACTCAAGACACACATTTATTGCCCTAATTTGATTAAAAATATGACCAAGTTTGTGGGGGTTGTGGGGTTTTTTTTAATTTCCAGGGGTCAGACTTAAGTTGGTCAGGGTACCATATCTGGCCCCCTTCTTAATTTACTCGAATCCTGCTCTGAAGCTGGGGACTGAAAACAGCAGCCATTAAAAAATGCTTCTCTCATACTGAATTATATAATGGAAATTGCTTGGGCTGATATTTTTTGCCCAAGGCCCGTTTCCTTTTTTTCAGAGCTAGTGAATGTCCTAAAAAACTGAGTCCCTAGGCATGTGGCAGTCCTGACTACGAATGCTCTCACTCTTGGGGGGGGGGAGTTAATTTTGAATGTACCCAGACCCTTGTTATGAATCATCTTTCTTTCCTAGCCACACCAAAAACAAAATAAAATGTCCCCCTGAAAAGGAACAAGCTTCAAACTACCACCTGATCACTGCCCTTGCGCGCGACGGCTCCCCAGTTTCCAATGCAAGTAGTTCCGCGGGCTAGCCTCGCTTCCGCAGCGCAACAAGTCGCTCCTCCCTCACCCTCTCATCTCAGTGGCGGGAGGGTCACAGATGGATCCACCGGAAGCGTCATATCGCTATTTCGATCTATACACACACACGCACTTCTGACGACCCCCGCCCCGCGGCCACCCTTCCATAAACGGAAAAAATAATCACCTCCCCGCTCCCTCTTACGGCAGACGGCACCTGCGTGTCCGGGGACTCCGCAGAAAAACCCAGCTCCCGCCACGCAGCACAGTGGGTTTTAGGGTGGGTAATTTATTAGCATATTTTATTGTAACTTTGCCCGTCCCTCGCTGGGCGTGCAGAGAGACAGCCAGGCACCGAGAGGGTTGCCTGCCTGCCTGCCTGCCTGGCCTCCCCAGCTGCTGAGGGTGCCGCTTCCCCTCTCCCCTCCCTCGGTGGGTCCAGCCCCGCCTGGGGCCCCGCCAGCTGCAGCGAGTGTAATTACCGTTTTGGGTTTGTTGTCGGCATAAATAATTGAAGGCGGGCTCCTCCTGTCAGGGTTCTTTTTCCCAAATAATTATTTCGTGAAGAGCCACGTGCGAGGAGGAGGAGGAGGAGGAGGAGGAGGGGTGCGCGCGAGGGGAGCGGGAGGCGAAACGGCGGGAAAGCCGGGCGGGGGAGGATCCGCCACGCAGCCTTCGGGGAGGGCGAGCTGGGCTAGCCCCCTGAACCCCTTTCCCCAGGCGAGCTGACTGGGCGGCTGCTGAGCGGTGGTCGCCATGTGGGAGCCTTAATTGCAGCAGGCGCCCTCCTCCCTCCCTTGCGGGTCTGCCCAGAAAAGGGAGTGGGCAGCGGGTGTCCCTCCACCCCATTCCCGCCTCCTCCCACTTCGGAGCCCTCCTGGGAGCTGCTCGGTGCCTCCTCCCTCCCTCCCTCCCTCCGTCCCTCCTCCTCCTCTTGCTCTCTGCCTCTCCTTCCCTCCCTCCCTCCCTCCCTCCCTCCTCCTCCTCCATGCTGGTTCAATGCCAGAGCGGCGTCTAGGGGACCACCATGCCCTGAGGCTGGCTCCCGGCTGCGCCCCCACCAGCCACCCTTCCTCCTTCCCACCCCCCTTACCTGGCCCCCCTCCTGGCCCCTCCGGGCAGCGGCGGACTGGGATGTGCCGTCGAGGTGCCTGGGCAGGACACTTGGCAGCCAGCGATGCCAGGCACAGCTGGCAGCGTTAACTCTTCGCTAGCTGCCAGCAGGGATCTCTGAGGAGATACAGGTGAGTGTGTGGCTGGCAAACCCCGCTGCCTCGGCGCGGGGCTGGCGAAGGATTCCCCGCGGCAGAATCCGTTTGCCATTCTCGGCTTCTAGGGCTCGAAGGCGGACGGGCACCCCGGCAAACCCCCCCCCCGCCCCGCCATCCCATCCTCTGCATTGAACACGGTGAGGGGCAGGCGCCCCACCGCTGTATATGTGGGGACAGCGTCTGGTGTGCCGGGAAGAGTTCTGGGCTGGAGACTCTTAATTTAAGATGCTTGCAAACGGGCTGGGGGAAAGAAGAGCAGCGAGGTGCAATGATTTCCTCATCTTGCTGGGTCTCATTCATTCATCCCAAGGCAGCCTTGGATCAATCCTCTCTACCCTCATTGCTCTCCAGTATCTGTTTTTAATATGTTGCTCTCCCCTCTGCTAGGTATATTTCCATCTTGCATTGCAAGCAGTAACTCCTGTTCTCCCCTAGGTGGGCATCTTGCTTAGCACTGGGAGGGCTGCATCTGCTCAGACTAGGCTAGGATGGAGGCATAAAAACATGGGGAGCCCCCCACCCCACTCAGCTTTCTAAGCTCTGGTAGCCTCCCAACCCTGTGATATTGTTCCCCACTCTCTGTGTGTATGTGGTGCATGTGTGCATTATTCAGCATGAAACAGGGAAGCGGGCGGAAATGCCAGGCTCCTGGGGTGTCTCCTAAATCTGTATTCCCTTTCTCCCTAAAGTTAGAAAGTAAGTCAGGTCACCTTCTCTTTATTGCTTGGCTCCTGCTAACTTGGTGGCTGCCTGACTTTCAAGGAACCCTATGCAGGCGGACGGAGATGGTGAGGTTGTGGATTATTTTTGTCTCACCGTCTGCTTCAAGGAACAGATGCTTCCAGCAGGGATGGTGCATGCCGTTTCCAACTGCCCCTTAGGTCCCTGGCTTCTGCTTTAACAAGAACAGCCGGAGCTCAGGGCCAGGGAACTGCCAGCTCCAGAGTCTGCGGCTTGGTAGATTGCTTTGACCCTTGACCCTGGGTGATGGACTGATGTCTATAAAGGCAGCAGCTAGAGGCATCTTGATATAGATCAGGGTCAGATATGGCCTGGGGAGTAAGAAGAATCCTGTGAGAGAGAGAATGGGCAGGATGTCTTCTGCACTATTGTTTTTCTCTTCTATGCGGTGCTTTTCTTGTACGTGGGATCTAGAATTACAAATCATCTACCCGTCCCCCAAGAGCTGTCTCTTCCTAACACAGGACATTGCCTTTATAACAAATTTGACCATTGGCCCATCTAGCCAAGGATTGTTAACACTTACTAGCATCTATCCAGGGTTTCAGGCAGAGTCTTTCCTAGCGCTATCTGGTGATGCTGTGGATTGAACCTGTTCTTTGACATCCACCCCATCCCAGTGCTCTTAAGACAGCCCAGTATTGGTAAACAACCTGGTGAAGTTACCTAAGCTGGAAGTGTCCATAACAGATTCACAACCTAGCAGTTTGAAAGCACGCCAGTGCATGTAGATAAATAGGTACCACTGTGGCGGGAAGGTAAACAGCATTTCCATGTGCTCTGGTTTCCATCATGGTATTCCGTTGCGCCAGAAGCGGTTTAGTCATGCTGGCTACATGACCCAGAAAGCTGTCTGTGGACAAATGCTGGCTCCCTCGGCCTGAAAGCGAGATGAGAGCTGCAACCCTATAGTCGCCTTTGACTGGACTTAACCATCCAGGGGTCCTTTACCTTTACCTTTTACCTATAACAGATTCACAATAGGCTGTTGTGATATATTGGTGTGAACAGCAGTACGTGGGCTGGAACTGGTCTTCATCTTCTTCAGCCTTTTGATTGGAGTTCTAGCTAGGTCTTGAGGGCAGTGGACTGAATTCAACTCTTGTCTGTCATCAACACCTGTAGTGAATCACTTGGGGTGTGTGACGTAGGTTCTTTGAATGTACCATGGGGAAAATATTCCATCTCACTAGATACTATAAAGAGCAGCATTGTAAATATAGGGCAGCCTGAAAGATATGAGACACTAGAGCTTAACCATGCTGCTGTGATAAGCCCATTTGTTTATTTCACTGTCTTGCCTCCTCTTAGCTGTATAGAGAATCTTTGAGGTTCTTACTTCAGGATAAAATACAGGCTGCTATAAGGAATAAAGATTTTTCATACAGAGACTGGCTGAGATGGCAATCATGTGCACTCTTATTAGGTAGTAAGTCCTACCGAATGCTTTGGGACCTACTTCTGAGGGAAAAAATTCATTGAATTGATTTGTATGAATGTGGGCTGTGAAGTTCCCAGTTCAAATATTGCCTCAGCCACAAACTTGGGAATTGGCATTAGGCAAGTCACTAGTCTGCATTTGACAAGGCTTGGTAGCCAGCTGTGACTAGTTTGCAAGACACGTTGGCTCACATTTATTCCTGTTTAGATTCCATATCAACAGTCAGATGCTGTACCTTCTGCTGCTGCTCATACAGTGATTGTTAATTCTTTTTAGCTTGTGCAACCTGAGGATGCAGACATTATTTTTGGATCAGTGAGGTTGTCTTAATGCGTGTTTAAGCCATACCCATTATTGGCTTATAAACACTGTCAGAGAGGGGTTGGCTAATTGGGTCTTTATGAGAGGGCTCTATTCCATCCTAGCAATAGTTTGGCCTCTGTTTTTATATATATATGCACACACACGCACACACACACACACACACACACACACACACACACACACAAACACACATATATATGCAATCTTAGCTGTTCAGAGCAGTGGAATCAACTTGATTCAATCCAACTGTCAGAGCTAGAGTTGAACACTCCTATTTTGCGTAAAGGACCTGAGTAATAAAATTCCTGCATTAAAATGATTATCTGGATCCATTTCAGGCCTGGTTTTGGTTCAGAAACAGCATTGGCTGTCCTAAGTAGATGATCTTCACATGGAGGTAGACATTCATGGATGTCTGCAGGAATTATTTTTTTTGGGGGGGGGTAAAATTTGATTTCTCCTGGAACTTTCAGCAGCTTTTAGTCCCCTTGACCATGGTATCCTCCTGGGCTTCCTTGCTAGGGTGAGGCTGCAGTTCTTCCTTGCAAGAAAGTGGTGCTGGGGAACTCACGCTCATCCTTTTGATCTATGGGGTTCTGCAGGGTTCAGTTTTCTCTCCTGTGCTCTTAAATATATACAGGAAATGTCTGAGAGAGATCATCTGGGATTGAGTGGATTTTCATAAGGCTATCAATGGCTACTACTAAGCTCTGCCTCCACAGTCGGAAGCAGTGTGGTTCTGAATGCCAGTTGCTGGAAACCCCAGGAGAGGAGAGTGCTCTTGTGCTCGGGTCCTGCTTGTAGGTTTCCCAGAGGCTTCTGGTGGACTGCTGTGAGAACAGGATGCTGGACTAGATGAGACATTGGCCTGATCCAGCACACTGTTCTTGAGTGCATCAGTGTACTGATGATATGCAGCTCTTTATCTCCTTGCCATCTGATTCTAGGGAGGCCAATGAGATTCTGCTATTTGTCAGGAGGCCAGGATTGCCTCCTGGATGCAGTTGCTCTCCTCTTGAAAGAACTTGGTAGCAATCTTGGGCCCAGCCTTGGTATTAGATGCTCAAGTGTCAGCTGTGACCAGGATGACTGTTCAGGGGGAGGTTTTAGAGCCATCTGCCCAGTAGACTGTGTTCTCTGGGTGAGTTTTTGTTTTTCTGTGTCGAAAGGTGAGAGGAAATTGGTCCACAACTTACTTTGAATACTATCAAGGCTTATAATTGTTAACTAACATCTTGTTCCGGTGAAAGGCCTTTGTTCATTTGGAGGTGTGTGCTTTTTGTCTAGTTTTTTGTGTGTGTGTGTGTGTAGCGGGGAGAGAATTCCCTATCGTTTAGTCAGGGGTAGTGATTACTAGGAATGATACCCAGTGCATGCAGTAGATAGACTGTTGGGCCTGAATATTGGAAGCCCATGTTCATATCCATATTTGACCATGCGGTAGTATTGATTCAAGTCATTCTCTCTCTCAGCTGAACTGTTATGTAGGTAAACCTCCACTCTGAGGTCCCTGAAGCAACTAAAAAAATGTAGGTAACAACTTCTAATTACCTCACCTTTAGAATTCAGTGTAGTCTGGAGAGTGTAGGACTTGGGATCTAGAACGGCTTCAGAAAGGTGGAAAGGATAAGGAATATTATTCATGTATGATTTCCTGAATATGCCTTTCAGAAAGGAAGAGATTCAGAAACTTTGAGATGTTTTGAGGGGAAGCTAGAGAACAGGGTTCTGAAGTTCTGTCCTTAAGTGTAGAATGAAGAATGGTGTGTGATGCAGTCCTAACCCCACCAACCTGGGAGTAAGCTCCATTGAATTCAATGGAACTTCTGAGTAACCAAGGTTAAGAATGCAGCCTAAGACTCATGCTGGTTGAGGACTAGTACTGTTTGATGCATAAGGTAGTGTCAGATGTGTGCCAGGTTCTACACACAGCACAATTAGTTCCTAAAAGACATGGCCAAGGAACAGCAGAGAGCTTGTTAAAGGTGCGGTAAGGATGCAATAGGGGAGATATGTCTAATACAGCATGCAGAAAAGTGAACCTGGAGGAAAAGTTTTAATGAGGAAGTAGTGGGTTTGGTG